TTTAAACAAAAATACAATCGAACGTACTTGTATTACCGTATGGTTTCTACACTTAACATTACCCTGGACACATGCTAATGTCCGGTGTACACAAGTTCTATATTTATAAGTTTGGCATACTTTTGAAAATTTTATTTCCACTCAAGCGGAGATTCAAATGCAAAAATACAACTGGACTGAAAACATTGCGATGGGCCGGGCTCACCTCTTGTCAAAACTCAACACTGTTGGTATATATATATACAACACAATATGCGTAAACGAACGAAAATACTTACTTGTTTGTCGAAAAGAGGAATTGTGAAAACACAAAGAACGATCGAGGCTTGCCAAAACAATTTCCTTAAGACAATATTTTCGGGCTGTCAACGGTGCACAATTTCTTCCCGGTAGGCTCCCAAGGTACAACGATCGGTTGTTAAATATTTGCACGAATATTCGACCCACGGCGAACTTGAACAACAAACGAAACTTTGACGAAGGGAAAGAAGAATATGAAGAACTATCTCGTAATTGCCCTTTAAATTCCGTACAAAATTGGCCAGATTCTGCCTTTATTTATAGGCGGTAGAGATCCATTCATAGAGGGTTGTAATGGTTGGAAGAAGAAGCAGAAGGTTGTGTCTAGGGGTGAAAGTCCGATGGATCGGATCGGAATTAGCCTTTTCGGAAAATTTCCAAAAAGTTTCAGAAGTACAAAATCAATTCCAATTCCAATTCCAAAATTTTCGGAATTTAAAAATTGATTCCAATTCCAAAAGGCCCGGAAATTTCGGAATTTCGGAAAACCATCGGAAATCAAATTAGCTTAAAATTTTCAAAACATAGCGAAAATTTTCTAAAATGTTCACAATTTTCCAAGACTAAGAACGTCCACGCCGATAAAAGTAAAACTAATTAACTAATAACTACTAAATTTTAGTTCAAAAATTAAATAAAAGTGAACACAACATAGTATCTAATAAAACTTTTAACAACAATTCATTATGTCAAAATCCTAAAAAAAAATTATAGGTGTATTTTTCGAAAAAATAAATATTGTATAATATTTATTATTTAAAGGTGTATTTTCGGAAAAAAAATCAAAAAAATTTGGAATTAATTTCGGAAATCAAATCGGATCGGAAATCGGAAATTCCAAATTTATTTTATATAATTCCAATTCCAATCCAAAAAAGCGGAAAAAATCGGAAATCGGAATTTCGGAAGTCGGAATGAAAAAAGTTGTTCCAAAATCGGAACTTTTAGAATCGAAACCGGCGTAAATTTGAATTTCCGTTCCAACTTGCACCCCTAATTGTGTGTGTTGTTTTGACCGAGTTCAAAACGTAGGAAAATTAATTGGTCATGGGTCAATTAATTAAATATTTGGTTTGGGCCAAATATTTTATTATTTAGATTTTAGGTCAACTAATTTGACTAATTACTAAATGTCCCCAAAAGTAATATTTGTGGACACATAAACCCAAACTAGTCATATCACTCGATTATATCGAGGGCACATCTTTTGAACTTTAATAATTTAATCAAGATAATTTTCATTCACCTTACTTCATGATTACGATCAAGTAAATAAATGAAATTAATCTTTACATAATGGGGTTTTTGTGCATAAGTCCACAACCAAACATATTTATTATTCTAGGTTTAGGGGCTATATCTCTTTCACCAATAAGCCCATCCCTTTAATATTTATTATAAATAAAGGAAACATTCATGTATATGCCAATATTACCCCCAACCATTTATACTCAATTTTTAATTGTAACCCAAATTTAATCAATTTTGTCCACAAAAATCCAATTTTGACCATAAAAATCCAATTTTGACTTTTTTCTTTCAAATAATTTTTTTGCGCCGGATTCCGGCGTTGACTTTTCGATTTTTTTTTTCTTCCGGATTTTTTCGCCGGTCTCCGGCGTTAATTTTTTTTTTATTTTTTTTTTCTTTCGGATTTTTTCGCCGATTTCCAGCATTGACCGGCGGTCTCCGGCGTTGATTTTTTTAGTGTGTTTTTAAGTTTTTTTTGTTTTTTTTACGTCCGCCGCTAAACGTTGACCGTAATTGTGCTGTCAATGACCGTTAATTAACGTAATTGTACTGCCGTTGACAAGACATTTATGTAATTGTTCTGCCGTTGACAGTAAATTAACGTAATATTATTATTTTTTTATTTTTTGTTAATTTTTTTATTTTGTTTGATTTGTTGAAAAGTCAACGTAATTATATTACTGTCGTTGACAGTAAAATAACTGTAAACACAATGATATTACTGTCAACAACATCAATATTACTATTTTTTTTGGGTTTTTTGTTTTGTTTGAGTTATTCACGGAGTAACGTAATAATATTATTGTCTATTATTGTAATATTAATGTGGTTGACGATAATATTACTGTTGTTATAGTAATATTACTGTTGTTATAGTAATATTGCTGTCAACCACATCAATATTATTATTTTGTTTGGATTTTTTTGTTTGTTTGAGTTATTCACGGAGTAACGTAATAATATTACTGTCTATTATTGTAATATTACTGTGGTTGACGGTAATATTACTGTCACTCACAGTAATATTAATTATTTTGGCTTTTTATTATGTTTACATTTGTTGAATGGTCAACATAGTAATATTAGTCTATTAGAACAACTCCAATGGAGTTATTAAATGGGGTATCAAAACCCTTAACTACCATTTTGATAATTGAAGTTAGAAATTTTCCACTCCGATGGAGTTATCAAATGAGTTTCTATGTTGATATTTTAATTTTTGGGATATAAAAATACATTCTGAAGAAATAATACCAATTGGAAGTTACATAACTTAACCACCTTAATAACCAATTAGAATATGACATGTGTTAATTAAAATATATAATCACATTATTTATTTTTAATTAGCAACTATTTGATAACTATGGTTGGAGCAAATAAATTTATTTAGGTATCCAACTAAAATATAAAATATCAAATAAATATTTGATAATTCATTTTGATATTTATGGGTTGGAGTTGCTCTTACACAATAATTTGAGTTTTGTTGCGTTAATATTACTGTGCTAGAGATTAATATAGCAATATTACTGTGTTAAACTGTAGTATAGTTAATTTTACTGTGTTTAACAGTAATATAGTTAATATTACTGTCAATCACAGCAATATTGTTGTTTAAACGAAAAAGAAAATGTTACAGAAAGAAGAAAAAAAAATAACAATAATAATAAAAAAAATTCAAAAAAGTCAACGCCGGAAACCGATGAAAAAATTCGGAAGAAATTTTTTTTGAAAAGTCAATGCTGGAATCTGGCGCCAAAAAAATATTTTTTGAAAAAAAAAATTTGAAAAAAAAAGTTTTTGGTCAAAATTGAATAATTTGTAAAATTCGGGGTCAAATTGAGGTTAAATTAAGTTAATGATGAAATTGGAGCGAGCATATTAAATTATGAGAGGCTAAGATAGTCTTTTACAAAAATCTGGACCATGTGTGGACTTATTGGTAAAAGAGTTTTTTATCCGAATCTCTTTATGAATAAGTATCCATTGATGGGTTTATTTGTAATAACCATTTACATAACTTAATTAATAGGGGAAAGTACAGTTTGCACCCCTGAACTATAGGGTCTGTCACAAACACCCCCCTAAACTACAAAACGTAACAAACTAACCCTCCGTTTCCAATCCGTTAGTGGTGTGCTGACATGGCAAGTTGACTTTCTCCAAATAAATTATTTTTACAATTTTACCCTCAGTTATATATATATATATATATATATATATATATATATATATATATATATATATATATATATATATATATATATATATATATATGTGTGTGTGTGTAGAATTAAAATTTTATTTTAATGTATAAATTGGAATCTTGTTGCACCATGGTTACAGTAGCTCGTTCACAAAAACCTAAAAACACAACGGCAACAAAACAACGCCGTGCCGGAGGAAGGTCAACCAAACACAAACCAATCACCAAAAAAACCCTTAGAAGACTTGCAGAGCACCGGATTGGTGATGCCAACCATGCCGATGGTGAAGTCGACGGGGATCAACGAGGGCTTATGGCGCGAAGACAAAGCCCACCACAACAAATTTTGCACGGAAATTCAGGGATTTCGAGGATTTTAGAAACAAGCTTGTGGCTCAGATCTTGATTCTTCTCTTCTCTTCTCCTCTTCTATTTTTTATTTTTACTTTTTGGAACAAAAATAAAACAGGGGATGATTTCTATGGTTTAATTGGGTTTTGCTGGAGAACTTTAATACTAGATGGGTTTTGCAGAAAGACAAAGAGGGGTTAGTCTAGGTTTTTAAAAAGAAAAAAAAAAGAACTTAAGCTTGCAATTTCTATCTTGATGATGCTTATGAGAGTATAAGATGAGAGGAGAGGGACAAAGAGGAGAGAACCTCTGTGAAAAGAAAAAGAGAAAATAGGCGAGAAGAAGAAGAGAGAGGAGAGAGACCAAAATTGATGGGCAAAGACGTAATTGCACATGAAAACTGACGGTGTTAGTTTTCTTAACGTTGACCATAAAATACAGGGGTTAGTTTGTTACGTTTTGTAGTTTAGGGGGTGTTTGTGACAGACCCTATAGTTCAGGGGTGCAAACTGTACTTTCCCCTAATTAATATTACTCAATATTAATTATTGGAAATCATGAAACTTCAAAAAAAAAAAAAAAACATTGTGACGGGGACTTGATCCCGACATACCAATGGCGTCTTTATATTGGGACCAATTCCACACACTTGTAACAAATTAGTAGATTTAACTACTTTATTACTACATTTTAATTTAATTTTTACTTTTTATATCTGAATATATTTGTTCCCATCTCCGAAAAAGATAAAATAATAATAATGTTTATACGTTTTAACTCGTTTTTTGAATGAACTTTACTCTAACAACCCTTCTTATTCACAATTCACAATTTTAAAATTTATTCTCCACCGGAAAGATTAAATATTTCTTGTTCTCTCAATACTATTGAATTATTCTCACTCAATTTATTTTTTTTCTATTAATATTTCTCATACATATTGCATAATAACCCGCTAATGAGGGCAAGAAGCTGCGTTACATTTTCTTGATGAATGATTAAATAAAATAACATTATTGATGATGCATGTAAACATCTTTATTTAGTGATGTGATATGAGCCATGTATGAAATCGACCCTTCGTCCAATCAAGACGAGTAGAGAGGCGGCAGAGGAAAGGGTGGAATGCTTTGCTCGTTTCTGAAAAAGTTTGACGGATCAACTTTAGTCTTGACACGAACTAATCGTTCGAAATTGTTCTTGAAATATTTCATCCCCCAAACCTTAGCCTCGTCGTAGCTTCCAATAGTATTTCCTGAGGAGTAGTCATTGACCCCTAAATCAAGATCCCTGTAATTGAAATAAGCCGCTCTAGGAGATTTCGACACATAAGCGGCCATGTAACCGTAAATTCTCCTCATCCAGTTTAAATGCTTTTCCGCTTCTTCTTTTCCCGGGGAATCCCAACTCAACCCATAATCAATCATGAAAATGTTACCTGTTCGATGTGGGAACGGAGTTTCCGATTCCGAAAAACTATTAAGTGCACCTCCATATGGACTTAACTGAATTTCAGCCATATTTTCATCTTCTTCACGGAGGAATCTAAATATCCCGATTAGCCCGTCTACCGGAATTGGTTCTGTCGCAAAGTCTGATTTGCCCTTGAAATATACTGTAAAAGGAGTGGTTCTATTCAGCAAAACGTCGAGGGGCTGGTTCGGTATGTACGCGAAATAGAGTACAGACTGTATCCAGCTCATTTCAGTACAATCTTTCTCCACCAAACCCAGCTCCGGAAATTTCTCTTTCATTATCGGCATAAGATCTTCAACTCCACCTAAGTACAAGGTAGTGAAAGAAGCTATTACTGTCCTCTTTCCGGTGGTCAGAGATCGAACACTTCTCAAGAAAACCCTCATCAAAAGATTATCGTCCACCTTGTCCGCGATGTACTGCCACCTGCATGGTTGTTAAATCGTAAATCGAATCGCAAATCGTAACATATTTTAATTCTTTCAAAGATAATATTAATGATAATAATGATATGTAAAAGTTGTCTGTTGACCCATTAAAATTGAAATCCAATAAATGTTTTTTAACAAAATTTTCAACACAATAAAATAAAAAATTTATAACCTATATATTAATTCTCATATTACAAATATTACAAATTCCCATGATTCACAATATATATATATATATATATATATATATATATATATATATATATATATAATTTGAAAATATAAAGAATGGACTGAATTAAATATAAACAAAATACATGTATGATGTAAGCTCACTTATTTTATTAAAATCGGTGGCATGAAGATATCCAAGTAAAAAAATACAAATGCCTTATGAGGACTAATTAAAATAAAAATAATTAATATTTTGAAAAAATAGAATATTATTCCAATTAATTTTCCTACATTAACTATAAATGAGGGGTAGAATCAAAATACGTGATTTTCTTTGAATACTTTGTTTTAATAGTATTTTAGGGGGAGAAATTGACAAAAGCGTAGTAGACTAATATATTTTTGATTGAATTTTATTATAAAAAGGTATAGTCATCTTAAATTTCCTTAAATTGTAGTAAAAATCGTAAACTGGGAATCGAATGGAAATCGTAAGATTTTAAAAAGCACAGCACCTGTGTACTAACTGGGTCGCGTTTTGTTCGTACGTTTTGGTGACGTTGAAAACCGTGACAGTTTCGGGGACGGTGATTAGATTGACCTTAAATGCGATAACAATCCCAAAGCTAGTACCTCCGCCACCTCTAATAGCCCAAAAAAGATCCTCCCCCATTGACCGTCGGTCCAACATTTGACCGTCCACATTCATTATCCTGGCGTCGATGATGTGATCGGCGGAGATGGAGTGCCTGCGGGACATCATGCCGTATCCTCCACCGCTGAGGTGGCCGCCAATGCCGACGGTGGGGCAAACGCCGGCAGTGAATGCGAGGGTCCCGCTCTTCTGGGCGAGCGTATGGTAGAGCTGACCGAGGGTGGCGCCCACTTGAACCCATGCCGTCTTTTGTTCGGCGTCGATCGAAATCTGACGAAGGTTTCTCATGTCGACCACGACAAAAGGATTATCTCGGGAAGTGTGAGAAAGTCCTTCGTAGTCGTGGCCGCCGCTTCGAACACGGATCTGGATTCGGAGTTTCTTGGAGCAGTAAATAGCTGATTGGATTTGGTAGTCGTAAAAAGGTGTGAAAATTATGAGAGGCTTATCATATGGAGAGGTTGAACCCGGTCTGAGGTTTTGGGCTATAAGAAGAGATGCGTATGATGATGAATTATTGGGGGTGTAAATGAGATCATCGGTTGCTGAATTCGAGCTTTCTAATTGGACGGTGAGACATTCAACAAAATCACCACCCTCATTATAATTAATGTTGTGGTCATCACCACTTGCAGAGGATGCAATAAACCTTAAAAGGTTTGAGAAACATAGGAATATTAATATAATATTATAATTACTAGAACCCATTTTTTTTTTCTTTATCAATATCTTTTGTGAGTGCTTATTGAGGGCTAGACCATTCCTATTTATAGGTGGAGGAATAATGCAATTTAGGTGTTCCGATCCGAAGTGATGAAATTATATGCCTAAGCGAGGGGTGAATTCGACTTTTCAAAAATTTCCATATTTTGAAAACTCTTTTTGGTAATTTGAATATCAATGAAATGATTTCTAAAATAATTATGATCACATGCGGAAAATTGAAAAGTGATGATGAAACTATAAATGACACATAATTTTGGTGAAATGTTGCAGCCTTCCACACCCTCCAACTTTTATTAAATTCCACCTAATATTGTGCAATTCATAAATAATTAAAACTTGTAAAATCCACTACTACTATGTTTTGACCTTCTCTTGCGCTACATAACCAATTTTGCAGAACTAGGTAGTTATATACCGTTTTGATACGATCTCTTGAGTATTATAAGAATTCTTTACGAAACGTAAGAAAACTCTTCTTTATTATTTCTCTCTGCCTAATGAAACCTTAACACAAAATACCTATTCAAAGATAACTAATTAATTAATGAATTAATTAATTAATTAGACCAATTTTGCAGAACCGGGTAGTTACAAATATACAGTTTGTACACTCTCAACACATGCTGTCAAGTCAATTCATATATCAAACGTTCGAAACATTAAAATCACATGTACATATTGGGTGGACTAAAACCATGCATCCACCAAGTACAGTTAATTATGTCCGTATATCTTCAACCATGGCCACAGACACACTACATGTACATCGTCCAACTAAATAATTGGATTTGTTTGATGTTTCGTATCACCAATAACTTGTCGCGTCGACCTGCAAATAGTATATTATCATCATGACTTATTTTTCCTGCAAACCCATGCGTTTTGCTTCTTTTCTTTTCTTTTTTTTTTTCTTTTTTTGCTGTTGAAATTGTGTTGGCTATCTCGCACTGGAAAATAGTTTATTTCGTCACATTTTCAGTTGTTTTCGAATTCTGCTATTTTTTTAGTTGGTTTTGATAATTTTGTAGTCGATTTCAACATGTTTATAGTTAGTTTCGATAATTTTATAGTGATATCGATAATTTATAGGTAATTTTGATAATAGTTGATTTCAAAATGTTAAACCTTGAATACCATTTTTTTTTAGGTGTTTACCATAATTTTATAGTTGATTGGGAAAGAAAAAACTAAAAAATGAAAATTGTAGTTGATTAAGAAATTTTTGTAGTTGATTATAGAAAGAAAATAAAACCAAATGGCAAGTAAAAAAATATTCTAAATTAATTAAAATGTTTAAAAAAAATTAGTCGATTTCTGAATTTTTTTAGTTGATTTATGAAGGAAAAAAGAATAAAAGGCTGAAAGAAAAAAGAAAAAAAACTATTTTTTATTAGATTTTTTTTAATTACTATTTTTTAATAATTTAATAAATAAAAAATTGGAAATTAAAAAAATAATATTTATATAAATATAAAAAGGAATCAAGTAATGAGTAGTGGGTAGTGGAAATTGATTAGTGGAGAGGGACAAATTTGGAATATGAAAAAAGCTGGACCTACTAGGCTCCTTCGATCCTACACCCGGTAATCTGATAAACACTGGATGGGTCTTCTGCTGACACGTGTTTTTTTTTTTTTTTTCTAGAACCCTTAAATGTGAAAAAAATGACACACGGCAACAGAAGACCCATCCGGTGATAAACACGCCCAGTGTAGGGTTAAAGAAGTCAACCTACTTCTACAATTGGAAATAAGGGTGAATTCACTCTTATTAAAAAAAAAAAGACAAAGGGGTTATCACTAATAGACTTTTTTTTTTAATTTTGGGGCTTCCTTCGAAATTTCTTGCGCCAACGACCTCCAGTGGTGCATCTAGGGGTGAAAGTCGGATAGATCGGATCGGAATTAGCCTTTTCGGAAAATTTTAAAAAAATTTTGGAAGCACAAAATCAATTCCAATTCCAATTCCAAAACTTTCGGAATCAAAAAAATCATTTCAATTCCAAAACGCCTGGAAATTTCGGAATTTCGGAAAAAAATCGGAAACCACACAAGATTTAAAATTTCAAAACTATTTTCGAAAATGTTCATAATTTGTCAAAAATAAGAACATCCACGTCCATAAAAGTAAAACTAATAACTACTAAATTTCAGTTTAAAAAATTAAATAAAAATAAACAGAGCATAACATCCAATAAAACTTCTAACAAAAATTTATTATGTCAAAATCCTAAAACAAAACTTATAAGTGTATTTTTCGGAAAATAAATATTATATAATATATATTATTTATAGGTGTATTTTTTGGAAAAAAATCGGAATCTTTCGGAATTAATTTCGGAATTAAATCGGATCGGAAATCGGAAATTCCAAATAAATTTTATATAATTCCAATTCCAATCCAAAAAAATCGGAAAAATTCGGAAATCGGAATTTCGGAAGTCGGAATGAAAAAACTTGTTCCAAAATCGGAACTTTTCGGATCGAAATCGGCGGAAATTGAAAATTATGTTCCAACTTGCACCCCTAGGTGCATCCCTAGAATCTTCATCATTTTCATTGAGTCCAATTTATGCAACCCCAAATAGGTCTTAGCCGCCGACGGACATTTAGGGTTTGAGATTAGGAAAGAAATATTTTTTTGTGCATAAGGTTTTTTTTTTTTTTTCTCATAAAATGTAATATATTTTTTTTCTTCAACGAATTGGGTGTCTCCTTTTGTATTTACGTTGTTTGTAGTTTTAGAATTTTAAAAAATTCTTGAAAAGGATGCAATAAACCTTAAAAGGTTTGTGAAACACAGGAATATTAATATAATATTATAATTACTAGAACCCATTTTTTTTTATTAACGTAATATTATTATTATTATTATTATTATTATTATTATTATTATTATTATTATTATTATTATTTTTATTATTATTATTATTATTATTATTATTATTATTATTATTATTATTATTATTATTATTATTTTATTTTGTTTGATTTATTCAAGTCAACGTAACTATATTACTGTCACTGACAGTAAAATAACTGTAAACACAATAATATTACTGTCAACAACATCAATATTATTATTTTTTTGGGTTTTTTTGTTTTATTTGAGTTATTCACGGAGTAACCTAATAATATTACTGTCTATTATTGTAATATTACTGTAAACACAATAATATTACCGTGGTTGATGGTAATATTACTGTTATTATAGTAATATTGCTGTCAACCACATCAATATTATTACTTTGTTTGGATTTTTTTGTTTGTTTGAGTTATTCACGGAGTAACGTAATAATATTACTGTCTATTATTGTAATATTATTGTGGTTGACGGTAATATTACTGTTGTTATAGTAATATTACTGTCACTCATAGTAATATTAATTCTTTTGTCTTTTTATTATGTTTACATTG